GAGCTGCGGTTGCCATTCTTCCGGGTGTGCATCGCTTGCGTCTCCGCGAAGGTGTTGTGGCAATGCATCATAGAGTCCCTGAGGAGGTTTTGCGTGGTGTTCCTTTTTGTGTCTCTTGTCTTCCCTCTGTGGTGCGCTGCAGCTGATGTTGTGCTGTGTTTTCATGTGTCGCATGCTGTCTGCGGACTGCTTTGCCTGCCCCTTTTCATTGCGTGGAAGAGCCTGCTGGCTGTGCACAAAGAGAGTTTAAGAAAAATAAGAGAAAGAGGAGGAAGCATGTCCAACGATGCTGCTGCTGTGGCTGTTGCTTCGCCCGTGAAGAAGGCCTCACCCCGGAAGGCTTCCCCGAAGAAGTCGGCTGCGAAGAAGCCCGTTAAGAGGACTGCTCCAAGGAAGGTGACCAAGAAGCCAGCCACCAAGAAGCCAGCCACCAAGAAGCCATCTGCAAAGAAACCGCCCACCAAAAAGGCTGCTAAGGGTCCGTAGTGAGTGATCGTAAAACCTTTGTTGAGTGCTTGTGGGATTTGCTTTTTATTGTGCTGTAGTTTAGTTTGGCGTGCTGAGTTCATCGGGTTTCTTTTATTTTCATTTTTATTTTTTTTGTCTTGTGATGTGTGGAGTATTATTATTGTTATTATTATTATTTCTTTTGCATTTTGTTTTTGTATATTTGTGTTTTTGTTCGTCGGAAGCCGTATAAATGCGTGTTGAGCACCTTGATATATATATTTATATATGCCATCTGTTCTTGACGTTTTTGCAATTTCTTAGTAGGATCTCTTGCTGTCATTTTTTCATTACGTTTTCGCTTTTCACTGCCGTAGTGAAGGTAGGAAATAGGCTTTTGCAGGCGTTTGTGCTTCACCTCAAGACTGTTAAAGGAGATAAAGATGATTGTTGTTGCAAAGAAGAGGACTGCTCTGGTGCTGTTGCTCGTGGCATTTCTTCAGGTTGCACCGTTTGCTGTCTATGCACAGCACTCCTTGGAGTGCCAAAAGATTTGGAAGGGGCCCAGCGCCGACAACGACATTGTGGCATGCTTGTCGAATGTTGACCGTCTCTTTGGTCAATGGCGCCTGCTTCTTCTTCCCGTACTGAACATTGTTCTTTTGGCTGTTCTCTTGTTGGTCTTTCCTTTGCTGTTTCTGTGTGTTCTCTGTTGTCGTTGCTGTTGTATTCCTGATACACTAGGAAGCACGAAGCGTGCACGGTGCTGCATGTGGCTGTGGATCTCATACGCCTTTATTTGGTCTGGTGTTATGTTTTATCTTGTTTTTTTTGGTGCCGGATTGCTGATCCAGACTGCCCCGCGTGTTATGGATGACGCTGTGTCAGGACCTTTGACTTACTTTAACTTCACCGCGGAAAAGATTGTTGACTTTGCATCTGACTGGTCTACAGGTCAACGCAAGCAGCTTGATGCTATTCCTTTGGACCTCACGGATTTCAGAACTGTCCACGAAAAGGCTATGAAATGTATTAAGGTGTCAAAGCAGAACTACTTTAATTATTTGGATAGGATTTCTATTACAACGTACGCTGTATCAAGTGTGGGTATTGTTTTGGTCTTACTTATTCTGCCATTCGCTTGCTGCCACTGCTGTATCCCGTTTTTTCCACTCATCCTTTCATGCCTTTACTGGGTGACTGCCATCGTTTTTGCGGTGCTGGGAACTGTAGTGGGGGTGTTGGCGTATGTTGCTGTCGTTGGTTGTGGCGAATTGCAACTGCATTACACACGTCAGCCAGGACTTGCCCAATGGTATGCCGTGCCTTACTGTCAGAGACAGTTCAACTTTACAAAGATCAACCGAATGATTCGCGAAAAAGAAGTTGAACTTTCTAAAGGTGCCTGTAAGCAACTGTTGGCAGTGTGTGAACCACAAAAAGAAGACAACGTTTTACCTTCGAAATTACTTGCAAGTATTTCTCTCCACATTAATAATGCACAACGCTTGAAACTACTTTCAGGAGATGCTCTGGGTGGTGCTGTCCCGGGTGGTGCTGGCCCGGGTGGTACTGTCCTGGGTGGTGCTGTCCCGGGTGGTACTGTCCCGGGTAGCGCTGTCCCGGGTGGTGCTGTCGGGTGTTGTTCCGGGTGTTACAGGTGATGCTTCAGCTGGTGCTGTTGATAATGGCGCTTTGGCTGCTGTTCTTGGTGCTGCCGTGGATGGCAGTGGTGGTGGCCAGGGCGGTGGTGCTGCCGCTTCTGCTGCACTTGCGGGGTTGTCAGGCGGTGTGGTTACAGATGACGGTAACGTCGTTGACATCTCGACCCTAATTAGCGGGGTTACCACAAAAGATGGTGGGCTTCCCAAGTTTGAGAGCTTTGATGGTTTGCCTGACGGGGTTGAGTTACCCTCGATGAAGGATGCGGCAGCTGTCTCGGAAATGCTTAAGAAGGTCCTTGGAGAGCGTAATATTTCTGCGGACCTTCTCAGTGCCTTGTCTGGAAACTTGGGAAACCTGGGAGATATAACTAATATCACTAAGCTCAAAGAGCTCTTATCATGTCCCTTGGTCTGTGGTGCGGGGCTCAAAGATGTCAACGACTGTACGGACTTTGGCACCATGGCAAGCTTTATATTGGACACCAAACTCAAGAAAGAGGTCCCGGGATGCAAAGGTGCAGAGGCCAATTGCAAGCTTTCCGAATGTGCAAGCACCTGCGCGCTTGATTTTATGAAGAGTGCATCTGCAATGCTTTTGATGAGGGCAGATCAGGCACGTAACGCCAGTATTGCACTTTCGTATGCCAGGCCTTTGCTTGAGTGTAACTTCGTGATGGACAAACTGGCCGGTGCTTTGACAAAGTGTGATGATATACGCCGAGGAACACTGATGCTTGGGCTGGGATTCTTTGTGGGAGGAATGCTTTTCGGTCTCGCCATCTACATCACATTACGTGGAGCCTGCGTGTGGGGAAAACGGTTTCCGAAGCTTCGAAGGAAGCCCAGACAACAGTAGATAGAGATAGTCTTTCTTGCCTTTACTTTTCTGTTCCTTCATCGATGATCTTTTTTGTTTTTCTGCATTTTTCTTGCTTTTGCTTTTTCAGTTCCCACCGTTCTCTTCCCCATCTCCGGAGCTTAGTATATACGCATGTATGCTCTTTTTCTCTGTGTTTTTTAAAAAAAATACTTACGGTTATATGTTTCTTTCCGGCGAACCGGTGCCACATGGTCGGGCGAATATGTACGAGCATCCATATATACACATTTTTCTTTATACAATCTTCACGTAAATATATAACACATATGAAACGCGGAGCAAAAAAGAAAATGTTTTTGAAATTATTTTCTCTGCCCCCTCTTGCGAATGACTTGGAAAATTTGCCCTTTTTTTTTCTCTTGACTTTTTTTTGCTTTTTTTGTTTTTGTTTTTGCTGGTCTTCCTTGAGCGCCGTGAATGCCGCGAAACCCTTGTTTTTAATGCGATGGCTGAAGGCTCAACTTATGTACCTCTTCGTTTTGATGACTTGGCGACGTTGCGTACATTGGGCCTTTATGCATGCTTTGTGACAACCCCTTTTTTATTTTCCCTCCCTTTTTTTTTTTTTCACGGCGACGCAATTGATACAAGGAACAGACCAATGAATATAGGTGTTTTTGAGTCCATACTTTGCGGTGCGGGCTGTGTGAGTGAGGCCACTCAGTTTCTCCGCCTTTGTGCTGCTTGGGTGAGTCTGTCTTGTTGGATTGTCTCGTCACACATTGTTTTTTTTTTGGTTTGTTTTTCTTTTCTTGTTTTTCTCTGCATCTTGGTAATTGGCGTGTATATGTGTCTCTGTGCGTATAAATGTGGCTGGGTGCAGGGTAGTTGCAAGTTAAGGTTTTAATTGAGGTCCGCACCGATTATGGTTGACTCCGCCTTGAAGTGCCAAGGGAACAGTGACCCAAGGGAGGCGGTGTGTCAGCAGCGCACACTGAAGCGAAAAAAGGATAAATTGCGTAAGCTGGAGAAACTAATAAGTTTGAAGCGGGGCAATGTGGAGTATAATGAGCTCCTGAGGGAGAGGCAGGATCTCATGGCGGAAGTTGCCGCGATGGAGACGGCGCTTGGGGTTGCCGTGCCTGAGGCGAAGGGCGCCCCCACGGCACCACAGACTGCGCCCACCATAACTAGCGATACGTGTGTGGAAGAATCTCCGGTGGAGAGTACTTTGTATCCGGTGAGCGCCGCACATTCTACAACGGCGACGCTTCGTGCACCCTGTGGGGTGCAGCGTGGAGACAGAGCTCAAACACAGGAAAGCAGCCAACTCAAAGGCGTTGCCGTTAAAACTGTCACAGAGCAGCAGACGGCAATGCCGACACCGGCAGCAGCAGCAACGGAGACATTACAACACAAGCCAGAGACGCCTTCATCCGCTTCTGGACGCATTCCAGTTGCAGTTGAAAATGTGGAGCCCGTTCAAACTATCATAGAAGACGCTCACTCTGAGACGCGCCCTCCGCTGTTTCCGGACATTCTTTGCCAGCCACCTTTTAACTGCGAGCTGGTGCATTATCAGGTTGCTGAACTGACCCTGCTGATGGAGTCTATGGTGATTGTTGGTGGCAGTGCGCGAACCCTTGCCATGATTCAGGCTTTCAAATCTCTTTTGAGTACGACGCCTGTTCTTTCAGTTCCGTCACTTCGCGACGTCACTTCAAAGGACTTTGAGGCGTTAATCAATGAGAACTTTAACTTTCTTCGGCGTGGTCGCGAACCATCTGCTGGAATGACGTACGTCAAGGAAGTTTTAGTTCGCCGTGTTGCCGCGCTACTGTCATCAGGAGGGAACTTTCGCGTCTGGGATGATGGGTCTTTTTCACCGTTTGATTGTAAAAGACACGGGTCACAGGATTGTAGTGAATTCCCGCTCCCACTTAATACCGAAATGAAGAATAGCCTGCTTGCTGGAGATCCACGGGAGATGGCAATTAAGGTGCTAGCCGGCATTGAAACGGAACTAAGGCTGTCTATCAAGAGTATCGTCGAGGATCGCTCGAAACCCCTTATTTCCTCTAATGATACCATTCTGGTTTTCGGGAGAAGCAGCATAGTCGAACTTATTCTTCTTGGTGCCGCTAATAATCCTCGACTGGGTGTTAAACCCGAAGTTATTGTGGTAGACGCCGCCCCACTTTATGAGGGTCGAATGCTCGCGAAACGACTTACGGCCAGTGGACTCCGTGTGACTTATGGCCTTATTACAAGTTGCTGCACCCTCATACCGCGTTGTACTCGTGTTTTTATTGGCGCAGCAGCCGTCTTGCAAAACGGTGACGTCTTTAGCCGCTGCGGCACGGCCTTAGTTGTTGCTAGTGCAAAGCAGTACCGTAAACCCGTTTTGTGCTTTAGTGAGAGCTTCAAGTTTGTTTCTGAGGTCTGGCTTGGCAACCTCGGACAAAATACGCAGTTGAACTTCTCACAGAAGCTTTCAGGGGATCACCGAATGCGAAGCCCGGGTGGGATGAGTTCACCGAGGTATCAGGGTCGCGACATCAATCAACAACCGTCGAGTCGCGGTGGTGATATACTGCCCTTACCCTCAACAGCCAGTTCCGCCTCTGGCTACTTGTACGACCTCACACCCGCGGCGTTCATTGACATGATTATCTGTGAGATGGGTTGCCTGGATACCTCTGCCATCGTCGCAGCACTACGAGACCGTGAGGACAGGGATGCGAGCCTTATGTCTGTCGCGTAACGAGTCATCTATGAGACGATAATGGTGATGGGACCGCTATGGTGTTTACCCCTGCCAATTAAGGAAAGAAGCATCAACCACAGCTACAGGAGTCAGAAATATTTTTTCTTGTTGCTGTTTATGTTTGCATGCGTGAGCTTAAAAGCTTGGCGAGAAGACGAAGAAAGGCTGAAAAAGAAAAGTGCTAGTTGTGGAGAAAGGCGCAAAGGAGAGGGAGAATACAGATGGTTCCCTCATGGTGTCTGTGTGTGTGTATGTGTTTTGCTGTTCTTCAGAAATGCGTTTTTCCTTCCCACTTTTACTTCTTTACTACCGCAACAGCACAGAAAAATAATTATGAATTTTTTTTTTGTTTCGTTGTGTTTTGCCTTGTTGTTGTTGATGCTCTTCTCTCTTGGTTTCTGGGCTGAGGTGCTGTTTGCATTTTTTTTTCTTTCTTTGCGTTTATCTCATTTATCATTTTGGTTTTTTTTTTTGTTCCTTACGTGCCGTAATACATACTCCCTTCTCTGTGTAGCCAAGGTGCTGATTCAAGCAGGTTCACGGGTAGTATTTTTTTTTTGACCCCTTACGCTTGCTGACAAAGGGGCAAAATTTCTTCAGTCGTCGCCCTCACCAATTTGAGTTTTCTTCGGAGAAAGTTCTTAGGCACATGCACTTTCAAACAACCTCCCGTGACAGGTTTTTGTGTGCTACGCCCGTGAAGCATGCCACAAAGGACGGAATGGTGCTTCAGAAAGCAGGTTGCGCCTCTGAAAGTTCGGTATTTTCTTCGCGGGTGAGTAAGAGGGAACTGGCCTTTGACGAGGTGTCTACGACTCACGATTCCGTGCAGGGTTCCTGCACCAGTGACTGCACACGAATCGTGAAACCGGTGCAGGCTCAATTGCATGCGTTCGGCACGAGGAGGTGCTCAACAAGCTCCAGCCAAAATAACACGAGAACTTCACGGCTCCATGACACAAAAACAGAATTTTCAGCAGAAGGAGGAGATAGTACGGTAAGCAGAAGTAACTCCTATTCAGTGCGGACCGGTAGTATGGCTTCTTCTATGAAGGCGTATAAGGAAAAGGAAACTGTGGTGGATGCAGAGTACAGTGAAGAAGAGGAAATATGTTGCATTTGTTTGGAGGGGTATACGGAAGAGAATCCCGTGATGTACGGGAGGTGTGGACATCATTTGCATCTGCCTTGTCTCATGAATTGGAAACAACGCAGCAATATCTGTCCAATTTGTTCATCAGAGTCGTTGGGGGGAGTGGCAGATGATATTGAAGCGTCACCTCCTGTGCATATGACCGACGAGGATATTTTCTCATTGCTATTACAGCAGCATCTGGAGCAATACACACACCCAGCAAGGCAACATAATCAACGGGAGTATGTACACGCTCGCGGGCACGAATTGACTGCTCACAGCACGGTGCGACATGCAACGAGGTCCGGGAATGCCTTGCAACGGCACCAGAATCGTGCCACTTTGCCTGATGAAAGTCGGCGACCCACGAGGGGACGTAGAGAGAGCGGTGCTTTGGCCAACGCTTCTTCTAGAAAGCTGACACGAGTTGAATCTGGTACACGAGTTCGAAACATGAAGGAAAACACAGTGGTGGCATTTTTCAATAGGGTGTTTTGTTGTTTTAAGAGGTGATGGCTTATGCAGATTCTGTCCGTAGACATGCTTTTTATTACAATGTAGGTATCGTCTTCAATTGCAAATGCGCGCTGTTTGTGTCATTGTGTGTGTGTGTTTAGCGTGCAAACGATGCTCAAATGAGCCGCTGTTAGGTTCGGCACCTCGCGTTTGGCGGAAAGTTTTGTCTTAACGGGCGCTTTGCGCGTCCGTTAAGACCGTTTCTTTTTTTTTCGTTTCCTAGTGGCGCGACCACTGTAGGTGCGTTTGGAGTGAATAAAGTGTGGGGGCTACGTGGGCGGAGAGCTGACGCCGTCGTCTTTAGTGACGAGTCGTTGGGAGAAAGCGCAACGCGGCACCCAAAAGGAGATGAAAACTAAACCTCCCCCCTCCCACTCAAAAAAAATATATATATATATATTTAAAAAAAATATTGACGACAAAAACGGCGCATGATGAACTAACTTGAGAGGTGGAAACAATTACAGTATTGCTCAGAATGGGACTTTTTTTTTTATTGCTTTTCCGTTTTGTGTGTGTTTTGCCTGGAACTTGGCGTGCGGTTTTTTGGTGTCGGCTCGGTTTGCTCCTGCGACATGCATCCATGAGGAACGCTTGCTTGCTGCTGCGGCGTGTGCGTGTGGATGTATGTGCGACACTTTCGTTGTGCGCCTAACTGGCTGTTACGCATGAGAGAGAGAAAAATTAAGGAAAACGAGGGACTCCCGCCTTTGCCCTGCTGATGAGTTACTCACACGTGGTGTCCCGCGATAATTGGAGGGGAGTGACGTGGTACTCATCGAGAGGGATCGAAATTAAATAAAAAAAAAAAAGAAAAAAAAAACAATGCCCTTCCAGGAAAGAAAACGGGGAAAAAC